AGTTGATTGAAAAACAAAGAACTAGAAGAGATTTCTACAAGCGAGAGACGATACTATCAGAATATACGGATCCATCTCGCCATCTCAAATATAATATAATGAGAACTAGCCAATTTAACAAGGAACTTATATTCATAAAATCGGGGTAACCAAGAGGGAAGCTCATCAGAACAATAGCCATGGAAATATTCGTAAAAATCCACGCCACGACAATGGGAAAGTGTATGATGCCGACATGTCATTTCAGGGTCGATAACATTGCAGATACTTATTTTGATTTTATCAGGTATCCCTAACTACATTGCAGAAGGAACATGCCAGACATAAATGCTCAGTTGAATGTTAGACTTGTGAATGCTTAAGGTCGATTTTGGCGAAGGAAAAATGTCTAGAACGACTCAATAAACCCATCTCCTGGCTGCAGATCGTGTAATTGATTCAATATTATCATACTAATTTATTTCAGCTGAAAACCTTAATCCGAAAAGGTGCAACGCGTCACACCCCTGGAGGTTATCATCAGACATACATCTAGAATTAGTTTATCATTTCTTCTGGACGATAGTGTGCTATTTATAATCAATTTCCGGGTTTCACTAGTAAAACTTGCGAGTTTATTTTGATATTTTATGTACTTCCGCAAGAGAACCGAACATTTATGTTCCAACATCACCAGTAATTTTTCAAACACGAATGTTAAACTTTCAATTTGTATTACCCATTGTCACACGTGATGAAAAATGGGTTTTGCATGTCAAGAGAAAAAAGATAAACATTGGTTATAAAAGATGCCAAAACCCAAATCATAATACTGTCCACAGAAGACCTTGCTTTGTGACTGAAGGAATATGAATGTTGCCGTTCATTAGCAAAGACTTGGTCAGGGGGAGGATATCAATAGCGATGTGACGCTGATCAGGTAAACGAAGTCCAGTGTGTCGTGCATTGCGAAACAGAAAAGCTGTTATTCTCTAGAGGAATCATGCAAAAATAGGCTGCAAAACGAACCCAAGAAAAAAAATTAGTAAGATAGAATGTCTTTCCCTATCCTCCATATTCACCAGATTTAGAAACTACAGATGTTATTCCAGATGTGGCAAATTTACACAAAAAAAAGAAAGAAAGAAAAGCAAGTAAGAAGCTGAAAACGAGATTTCAAAATATTTTCACGAAAAAATAGAATTCTTTAAACGTGGAATCGAAAAGTTACCCTTCCCTTCAGTTTTTTGATATGGTTTATATATCGTTTATTGATATGGTATAATGTATTCTTTATATGAAGGTTTTTATATTTTGATATGACTTATATAGTATAGTATATTATATGAAAGTGATTATATGCTTTATATGTTTACCTGATATAATATATTTTGAATATGAAGGTGCTTATCCTTTATATGGTCTATATAGTTTATTTGGTGTAATATATTCTGTATATGAAGATGTTTATATGGTTTATATTGTATAATACATTTTTATATGAGCGTGTTTATATTTTATGTGATGTGGTGTATACAGTTTATATGGTATAATATATTCTTTATATGAACGTGTTTATATTTTTATATAGTGTATATGGTATAATATATTCTTTATATGAACGTGTTTATATTATACATGGTGTATATGGTATAATATATTCTTTAAATGAACGTGTTTATATTTTACATGGTGTATATGGTATAATATATTCTTTATATGAACGTGTTTATATTATACATGGTGTATATGGTATAATATATTCTTTATATGAACGTGTTTATATTATACATGGTGTATATGGTATAATATATTCTTTATATGAACGTGTTTATATTTTACATGGTGTATATGGTATAATATATTCTTTATATGAACGTGTTTATATTATACATGGTGTATATGGTATAATATATTCTTTATATGAACGTGTTTATATTTTTATGCGGTATTCTTTATATGAAGGTGTTTGTATTTTTGATAAAGAATATTTAAATAAATTCCATTCATATTTGTTTAAATATAATTTCTGATACACCTCCCTCATTGCTCATATTGTCAGCCCATGGTATCCTCAGCATCCTTCTGTAGAATAATATTTTGTTGCCTCAAATCTTTTCTTCATCTGTGGTGAGATTGTCTGTCGTCCATTGCCATATAGGAAAGCCAATATTACATAACAGTTCAGTACTCTTCTTTCTTAACCAGCTTTTTCTGTTTCTTAAGATTTCGCTATGAGAATGTTTCTTTAAACTATGCATAACTGACTATTAATGGCCTAAATATTTTTTGCGGATTTTGACGTGATTTTTTTTTTCATGATAAGTCTCAAAAACACTATATAAAATTCATTATTTTTAATACCTAATGTTGAATGTGTTAAAATAATTCAACCTTTTAAAAATAAAAATTTCAAGTTGATGTTAAAAGTTTCCACAACATATTGTTGATTTACTTATGATGGAATGATCTAATATGACAGGTCCCTAATTTACATGGTTGATATTTAGTAGAATCTATTTTTGTTTTATTTTTTAAAATGGTTTTAGTCTGATATCTCACAGAATATCTCCCGTCATTTTCACGATACGCCTTGTTGTCACTTGATCTCCATTCTCCCAATCTATTTTAACCGACAAAATTATTAATTAATTCCCCTCTCCCATTTCTTTTTCCTGATTCAGACAATGTAAAAGGAATATATATCGAAAAAAAATACATTGGAAATTGACGCCTGCGATCTCGAACGTCAACGGGACGATAACACTAAAAACAGCAAAATGTTGTGGGAGTGGCAACTTGACTTATTTAAGATGAAATGATCTATTATGATATGTCTCTCATTTGTATTTGCAAAAAAAGATACATTGTCTTTTTTTATTTTCAAAAAGATTATTTTTTGTTAGTTGAATTGTTCACCGATAGAGTATATGATCCATAATTTTACTTAATTAGGTTACAATAAATTTGTATTTTATATGAATTCCACCATATGAAAATATAGATGTTGGTAGAGGAGGGGCTTGTATCATAGATTGGTGGTCACAAGTTTATTGTACCGGCGCTATGACCATGCTTTCAATATTTTGGCCACATGTGGTCTGATTCTTCTGCGATGTATCTAGACATTCTTGGCAAAATCCAAAACAGAATTTATAATATTATTAGTACTGACCTGATAACTCGCCTTCAATGGCTTTCGTATCACCATAATAGCGGTTCGGACAGAGTAATCGGAGAGACAAGTTCGAATCCCAGTCGAATCCATTACATTCATTTAGGTTCTAATACCCTTGGGAAAGGTATGAATCCTCTTCATCTCCCTCCAGTTATGGATAAATAGCAGGACAGATCGGGTTCTATAACCTTGGATAGCAACCGGTCTACCGCAGAAAGAAATGGCAGCCTACTGCAGGAAAAAATCTGCCTCGTCAGTCATGTATGGAAAGATACATGATCGTCAAATTGTATATCACGCATGACACATAACTGACTGATCACCATAACGTAGATTCCCTTTGCCTTTTCTATAAATATTTATTTTAAATTTTTCTACATGGATAGTTCAATTATATGGTGCGATGGATAAATGGTCGTCTAAAAGACGCAAAAATAAAAATAACACTGAGACCTCATTTTATCAGATATATTTACCAAAATGACACAATGATATATTGATTTAGTAAAGAGAAAATTTATTCAACAAAATTGTCATTATCTGTCTATATTTCTGAGATGAAGTATTATGTACATTACTTACAGAACCCACAGACTGTGAGGTCAATACCCGGTTAAGGTTGGAGATTAACTGATTACTGACATCCATTAAACATGGCACGTGGAACTAGAACAGTCTACCCCAGTGAGCGAAATAAGGGGCTCAGTTCGACATTCCAAACACCTGAAGAAGGCCGAAGCGTACAACGGCTGAAACGTTGTGATAAGTATGGCGACAAAGATGAGGACAATAGTCGGAATAATGTAAATAAAATCGCCATTGGCTTCAATCACGGCCTACAGAAGACTTCGGAATTTTATGCATCGCTTCTGAGCGGTCTTCTTCTTTATAGGTGTATGCTGCCATAATCCTAGCCTTCATCTTTGGTGTTAGAACGAAAGTTTTTTTGTCTTTCGATGAACTGGGCGCCATATATGATAATCAAAGTCGGAGACTGGCGAGTTAAGTGGCCAGATGTAAGTAGTGATATGGTTGCAGAAACTATCTGACAGCCATGACTGGGTTCTTCTGCTGATGTGGCACGATGCAGAATCCTGTTCCCAGATATAGCGTCTTCCAGCAGGGTAGCACTACCTCGTCCCGTTTGAATCAGAGGCCGCCATCAAGAAATTTGCAAAGTCTTTTCATATCAGAACGATCAGAGTCAGTTTCCGAGTTGCCATACCTTCAAATCACCATTAGACTCTTCCAAATTTTTTCAGAATCCTCTTTTCTGTCCTCGAATTGACACTTAAACCCTCTGAAATTTTCGTATTTCATATTAAAAATATAAAATGGCGGCAACGTACCCATCGGAAGCTGTATATTGTATATACTCTATTGTTGTAGACATTTATGTGACAATAAAATGTGCATCTTATATGATACTACCTTATGAAAATTGAGATGTAGTAAAATGGTGGGGACCTCGTATTATGGATTCGAGGTCGCTACGCGACCCTTCCACTGGTCCTGTGAGGAGAAACAAATTAATTTGTACGTAAGCGCAAGCGTCTCATGATTCCAGGTGACCTGATTTAGTCCGCCCCTGCTGATTGACGGATGGCCAGACTATGAAATTGCAACAGCTGTTAATCAGTGAAATTAGATGGTGGTTCTGATGAAGACTCGACCAGACTTGTCGAACGAATTACTGTGAAGCGAGATGGTCGTGCTCCATTCTGACGAAGCCTGACCGAAAATACGGGGTTCCGACTCCATAATTTGTCTTCCTTTCGACTAATGTCGTTATCAACAGTTTTCGATGTTGGAAATCGACGTTGCCAAGCTAAACTGAATTGTCATGCTGCCAAATGTGATTATAGAAAAGTGCTCCTGGCAGACAAACATCAATCTAGCTTTATTAGTACACTGTAGCAGCTATGAAACACAGAAACACACACTATCTATCTATCTATCTATCTATCTATCTATCTATCTATCATCGCAGCGTATCTATCTTTGCAGCGTATCTATCTATCTAGCTATCTATCTAGCTATCTAGCTATCTATCTCACTTTGTCAATCTATCTACCTCTCGATCTATATCACTTTGTCTATCTATCTATCTATCTATCTATCTATCTATCTATCTATCTATCTATCTATCTATCTCACTTTGTCCATATCTATCTATCTATCTATCTATCTATCTATCTATCTCTCACTCATCTCTCTCTCTCTCTCTCTCTCTCTATATATATATATATATATATATATATATATATATATATTAGCAGCGTATCTATCTATCTATCTATCTATCTTCGCAGCGTATCTATCTTTGCAGCGTATCTATCTATCTATCTATCTATCTCACTTTGTCCATCTATCTACCTCTCTATCTATATCACTTTGTCCATCTATCTATCTATCTATCTATCTATCTATCTATATATATATATATATATATATATATATATATATATATATTAGCAGCGTATCTATCTATCTATCTATCTTTGCAGCGTATCTATCTATCTATGCGGCGATTGCCACTTCTTAAGATGTGATGGCGTCTTTCTTGTTTCGGCGTCCATGGCCCTTACGTTTACTCTTGAGACCATATTCGAACTCGTAGCTATAAGGTATATAGGAGAGATAAACTTACCATCCTGGATTAGGTTGATTGGATCTGCACAACTTACAAATCTCCTGTGTACCATCCTCGTCAAATGATGATCTGCAAACCTTATAGCAACCTATGCAGTATGGTGAAGAAGGATGACATAGTTAGTTTGCTTCTATTTGTTATGGTGATCTTTTCGATGGATTACATAACACGCCCTCTATAACAACATACGCTCATATAGAAACCACATTTCCAAACTGCATTTTAGTAAATCCGGCTGAATGCCTAATCGGTGATCACCCGCTATCTGAGCACTCCCGCGACATTCAACCTGAAAGTTTGCCAGACTCTCTAACGAAGTGCCTCCACTCTGTATAACACACACACACACACACACACACACAAAATAAATATATATATATATATATATATATATATATATATATATATTATGGAAAATAAAGTATAACCTACATTTTTTTTTTTTAAAAAAACATTACAACCAAAATCAATAGCGGGTTCTCTCTTCTTTAACAATATACACTTTTCTCTCGTTGGAACAACTATAACCTCTTTCTTATATACATACATATATATATATATATATATATATATATATATATATATATATATATATAGAGAGAGAGAGAGAGAGAGAGAGAGAGAGAGAGAGAGAGAGAGAGAGAGAGAGCATATTTTAATTCAAGCATGTTTGGTTAAATAATTTGACGAATTATAACTATTTATATTAGTTTTAATACTCTCGATCCACAAATTAATTTCTTGGTGGCTGTAGAAAATAGATGAAGAAAAATTCCAAAATTTTCTTTCAGATAATTTTTCTTTAACCAAATACTTTCAATCTCATGTCCAGTTGGGTAAAATATCTGGTGATGTGTATAAAGTAGCTCTGTAAATTCAATATATTTTCCACTGTTTATTTACAGCATTTCAACTTCACATATGCAAGGGGGGTAACTTTTGTAATTTTTATTTTAATATTTAAAAAATGAAAAAGATATTTTAATTTAGTCTCTATGTACGACTTTGAAAAGTAACTCCCCATTTCATGTATGATGGTCTCTCCCGTCCTGTAAATATTATAGTTAAGTGGGAGAGTCGTTTATTTATAAAATAGGGGGTTACTTTTCAATCACCTTGTGCAAAAGTTTGCCAGCATCATTTTTTTTTACGTGAACTTCATCAGCTCAAGCTCTACACCAAGATACCGACCTTTTAATCCGAATATATCTTTATTTTTCCGTCTCGATAGAGTTAAAATAATGTCTCTGCGTTCACAGCAGTTGAACTCTAAAACAAAGAAACCGTAGAGAAATCTCAGCTTTTCCAGTTGATATGCTAGGCCAGGGGTCGGCAACCTTTTGTGCCGACTTAGATTTTTAAAATCATGCAGTGTCCCAACATCATACGTATTTTTATACAAATCAGGGTCAATATCCCTGTTCTACAATATATTTTATATAATAATTTATAGTATATATACTTTGGTATATATTAAAATTTAAACAGCTGACTATATTATTTGCGTTATAGTTGTTATTGGTTTGGACTTTGTGATGTCATTTGCGGCTGCGTGCCATTAGAAATAGCTTGACGTGTCATTGCTTGGCGTGGCACGAATGGTAAATGGGCCGTAGGTTGCCGACCTCTGTGTTAAGACACAATCTGTTTGAAATGAGAGAAATTATGTGTGAAAATATGCGTCCACGTGGAATATCTAAAGTAATATTTATATCCACATTCACAATTTAGTCAGATATTAGTAGAAAATATATCAGTGCACTACCAAGAAAAGAATAAGCAAAAACGTAAGATTCTAGAAGGCTTTTATTTAAGAGAATTTCAACCAGCACTAAATAAATCAATTACGGGTATAGCAACATTTTTTTAAATGTTTGTAGCACTCGGAGTTCTTGACAAGATCCAGAGAAGGATATGTAATCTAATTGGCCCTGATCTAGCGTCTTGCTTGCAGTCACTCTCTCACAGACGCGCCGTCGCCTCTCTGTCTTTTTCTACAAATACTTCCATGGTAACTGCTCTGATGAGCTGCTCTCTGGTTCCCAGACTCCATGAATTCAAGCGCCCTACGAGGCTGGCATCCCGCTCTCACCCTTACACCGTAGAAACCTTCAAATGTAGCCGTCTCTTCTACTCCAATAGCTTGATACCTCGCACCTCTCGCCAGTGGAACACCCACCCTATTTACTGTTTCCCTGAAAGCTATAATCTCCAACTATTCAAATGTAATGTCAATCGACATCTCCAATTACCTTGATCTACCCACTATCATTCTCCTCTTCCTTTCTCCTATCACTCTTATCTGCTCTCGCTCCAAACCCCCTGCATCCTAGTGGCTTCACGCCTTGCTTGGGGCTCAATGCTTAAAAAAAAAAAAAAAAAAAAAAGAAAAGCAAAATGTTATGTAAAAAATATGGAATTAAAAATACTACAATTAAAAATCTTTTTTTTGTTGTTGAAACATTTAAAAAACTCATGTAAGTTACCTCATTTGTTAGAGGTAAAAATATTGTTTTGAATTTACGGTTTTAACGAATTAAGCATTCATATTGTTGTAATCTAGGGAAGGTTACTGAATAACATAATCACATGAAGGTTGATAATAATCAATAATACTTCAAACAATAACAACACATATAAGATATTCCAGCCGCGCGTAGAAGTAATCAACTGCCAGAAGAGAGTCAAGTGAATTCCACAATGAATCTCCAACTGCAGGTTATCTACCAACCGCTCCATGAGTTCAGATGCGGCACAAGGCCTAATTTACTTTGAGATATACGAGTCCGTAGGGTCGGTCAAAAATTCCCCGTAGACCGCGTATAAAACGGGATTGGGTATCTGTTTCCAGAGACGAGAATCTGCCCTTCGGCATAGCCTGGTCTGGAGATTGTCTGGTGATTTCACTCGCACAGCTGGAGATGAATCTCCAACTGCAGGATATCTACCAACTGCCCCATTTCTTTAATGTGGGATATACGAGGCCGTAGGGTCTGCCTATAATTCCCCGTAGACCTCGTATAAAACGGGTTCGGGTAGCGGTTTCCCGAGACAAGACTCTGCCCTTCGACATAGACATACTATATCTAAGTTATTTAGGAAAACATCCTTGAATATATATATATATATATATATATATATATATATATATATATATATATATATATATATATATGATTTTGTGCCTGTCTTAGGACTCAGCGGTTTGTTCCAAACTGTTCCCTACAGATAATGTTCCCAGCATGTGAGTGATCATGACTCTCCGTTGGTGAATATGGCTCTTCACATATTCCTCTCCTGTTTCCTAGTCTGTGTCTTTTTTTTTTCCTTTTTAGAATTGGTATTCCGGTTACTTCTAAAGTATTTTTCATTCACTTTCACTCTCAATAGCAACTTACATCTTAGTGGCATTATTGCCTTGCTTGGGGTGAATTGATTAGAAAACAACGTTCTAAGCCATATCTGTAATCCAACATTACCTAGCAGTCACTGTTTTTAAATTCGTTAACCAACTAATCGTATAGCTTATTCGATGTTTCCTTCTTGCTTTCAGTATGCACTGTAAGTACAAAATTCTCCAAACCCTTTTCCTGATTATGAGTCGCAGAAATTTTAAAACAACTTTTCCCATTCCACGTTTCCTTTTTAAAGAACCGCAGAGTTGTTGCATCAAGTCTCCTTTTTATATCTGAGGGAATTCTCCAGTATTCGCTGTCATATTGGAGAATTGATATCTATATAAATAGAGCTTTCTATGTATGCTCGTCCGTTTTTCAATCTCGTCCGTCATAAACAATCTAAAGTAAAACTAAGTAACTACTTAGTTACACGCGATTAAAAATTCAATAGAAAAACTCATTTAAAGTTAAATTTAAATATCAAACAGAGTGAAAGGTTTAAAATAACAATTCTTTATTAAAGGATTAACTTTAATTTCGTTTTTCGTCACAATTGCAATTGATGTCGTCGAATTAAACTGTAATTAAAACTTAAGTGGGGCACGGTAAGTTGCTCATGCGTTTTTGTTTTGTTGTTGTTTTTTAACACGCGTTATGTGACGTATTCTAAATATTACACACACACACACACATATATATATGTATATATATATTCAAGAATATATATATATATATTCAAGAATATATATATATATATATATATATATATATATATATATATATATATATATATTCAAGAAAGAAATTCGGATTACTAACACAGAAAATGTCTCATATCGAGAATATTTAACATTGAAAAACAAAAGAAAAAATTAAATATTTTTAACAATATGTGGAGATCTCCGCTTTTACCTGAAGACGGTCACGAGACCAGAAACTCGTGTAGTACAATTATGTAAAACAAAGCATAATATTTTTTTTTCTAAATAAATCCACATTACAACCAAAAACGTTTGTGGCACCTCTCTTCTCTTCTTTTTAATATACATACTTTTCTCTCGTTTGAACCACTATAACCCCCCCTCTCTCTCTCTCTCTCTCTATATATATATATATATATATATATATATATATATATATATATATATATATATATACGTACTGAATCTTGTAAGTTTTTTTGTTTTTTTTTATTACACTGTTCGTATAGACATCATAATCCCAGCCACAGCGAGACACATCCTACGCTGTGAGTGTCACAGGTGTAGAAGACAATTTTATGAATTTGTAGAATTAAAAGTAATAGCAGATCCTGGCAGGACAAATGCCAAAATATTTACGTGTCACTTCTTTCCTTCCAATTAAATATTAGTTTTTGCTTGGTTATTTGTGTTCCTCGCGATACTGCAACAGGTTGTGTGCGCTGATCATGACGATAATTGCTGTTTATTCTTCAATAAACGTCGATACATAGCTGGATGTTGGAAGAAAATT